AAAGGTACGCTTAACAAAAATGTAATATTTCAATCTGTTTGCTGAATCGGGCTTTACTTTCTTCGTTTGAAAACGTACGTTGAACATTGGTTACATAATGCTGATGTTAATCTCATACTAAACACTAAAAGACTGATCACTGACACGACTAAGAGACACACTACTATCTAAATATTTACCTAGAGTACAAGGAGAAATTCGGGAGAGAGAGGGTTAAAAAAAATTTTGTAGTGTAGTACAGGGGATCCTCGACTTACGCCGAAGGTTCGTTCTGACGACACGATTTAACCTGATTTTCGACGTAGGTCGGAACTCACTTACATAAGCACTCACGAGTCTGCCTTAAGCTTGGAAGCCATAATGAAAGGCACCCCCCCAGGCACACACACACAAAAAAAAAAAATACAAACGAGAGATAGCAAATGTATCACAATTTAATATGGCGTATAGCTGATGAAGAAACGACGCCATCTTCCACATATAGCGAGATGGCGCCGTAACCACGAAACGCTGTAGGTTGGATCCGACGTAACCCGAGGACCTTCTGTATACTGCATTATTTAAAGAATGTACCGCCACGGACTTTCTGAAAAAAAAAATGAAAAACGCATTTTAAATAATTTAAACGCCTTCTTTGAAGTTACATTTTGGGCTTATTTTAAAGATAATAGCCTGAAACTAACCCGTATTAAAAGAAAAATCAATTCCCTTATGCAATTGAAGTTTTTTTTAGGTATTTTTAAAACATTAGTACGTTTTCTCGTCTCTCATCGAACCGCCATTATGGACGAAAAATGGAGACACCAAATTTAAAAATCTCTTTAAAATTCAATATTTATCTTAGAGATATGTTTCGAAGTCATTTAGAAAATTTAAGGATTAATTAACTGAATTTTGTAAAAGTAATGTTTACCTTTTACTTAAAACCTAATAAAAATAACGTTTATAAACACAAACAAAAGTTGTACAATGACACGGCCGATTTAAAAAGTGCGCGAAAAATTAAAAATAAAAATTAAAGAAATACGGAACACCAGCAGTGCAATAATCAACAAATTGGTATTTATGTTTAAAAATAAATTATCTTTAACCTTATATAACCAATAGCTTAAGAATATATTTTTCATTCTATATTTATGAAACTTACTAGAACGAATACTTTTATTTTTTTTATACATTTAAAATTAACTAATTTTTCTTAGTTAAATGATACGCTTAAGTTCAATTCATTGCTATTTTTTATCATTTTCTTACATATTTCTTGCCATCAAAATAACTGAGTTGCTACTGGCAAAAACTGGGCAAAATTAGTCGACTTATTGAATTGATTTACGTTAAATTGATTGTGTTCACTGAGTTCCTTCTTAATTATTCACTTGCATTCATATGATGCCTTCATTTTTATTTTTGGCATAAAATTATTATAATCCTATCTATATAACCAACAGTTTAAGCATACATTTTTTATTCTATATGCTTTTATGAAACTTAATACAATGATCAAAGCCGAGAAATCATAATTATTTCGCTTTTGTAGATCCACACAAGAAATAAACTTACCAGTTGCTAAAAGACAAAAATAAAATAATTAAAAAAAAAAGGTTCATACTCGAAAAATGGAATTAAACTTTACATTTTTCGTTTCTTCAAACATGTTTATATTTAATAATAAAAAAAAACTCTTGCGGGAAGAACAAAGAGATAAATTTCAAAATCGCACTGAAAAATTATAAATAATTTTTTTGTAAAATAAATATTATTAAGTGTAGATTTTATTCTGTCTATTCCGAAATGAAAAATAATGTGTTTTATTAAATTATACAAGCACCAATTGTCAAAAAAAAAAAAATGACTTTTAGTTATATTGAATGATTTTTTAGTAAGATTCGGAGTTAATTTTCTCTATGTTCCACACGTGATATTGCATAAATTCTTTTACCGAAATAACATCTTCAGATATTAACGACCCTGCCCCCAATTATAAAGTACACACGAGACATCAAAGTGGGGGGGGGTTGAAACAGACCATCAAAATGATATTTCTACAATTCTTTTTTTTTTTTTTTCTTAATAAAAGTCAGTATACAATTCATACATTAATAACCCTGAAAATTTCGTTTGAATCGGATAATTCTCTGATTTTTGGCAAATATTTTAAAACAGGGAGTAGCGATTTCTTGCCTTCATTTCGGAAAAAAATGCATCCATTCTGGTGGTATAAAGTCTGGCCTATAAGGGCCGGCACGCCTGTCAGAAGAATAAATATTCTAAATATTTACCATTTAAATGAACTTGGTCCGGTCAGCACCTGGATGGGCAACGCCAGGTGCTGTAAGCTTGGATGTGCGGTGGTGTGTAATGGATAACGGCTCAGGATGAGAAATCTGGGAGCCGGGATCGAATTCCGGTCAAGTTCGTTATATTCACTTATGTGCAAATACCCTTGAGTGATCATGAATCCAAAAGAGACACGGTCGCCTAAGCGTGTCACACCCACCCCTACCAACACGTATTGGGCCAGCGCGGTAGTATAATGTCCCGTCCCTCCGCCCGATGAATCTGGGAAGGCCTACGCCCAACAAAGGACGTTCAAAGGTTGAGAAGATGAATCAAATAGCACAAAGCTAAAAGTGGGGAAGAATATTATGTTGCAACAATCTTCCAAGTGGGGAATGCCTTGAAAATCAGCATTTTACATCCTGGTTTTCATCTAGATTAAACACTGACCACGAAGCAGTTATTTCCCCCAAAATATATTATTTTTAATTCCATTTTGAAACATAAGACAAATCGATATTATTTTCATACAAGCTACAAGCTTTTCTAAAAATTGCGTCAGATATTTTACATTAAGGATATGCAATATGGTTGGTCCTGGTCTGGCATCTCGTCAACAGTCGCTCTCTCGCAGACGTGTCGTCGCTTCAATCTATCTTTTCTACAAGTACTTTCACGGTAACTGCTCCGAGGAGCTATTTTCGCTGGTTCCCAAACTGCATGAATTTAATCGTGTTACTAGGGTGGCACATCTCAATCCAGCCCTTTCACTGTCGAAACTATTAAATGTAGCCGTCTCTTCTATTCTAATATCTTCATGTCTCGCACTTCCCGTCTGTGGAACTCCCTTCCTCTTACTTGATTCCCTGACAGTTATAGTCTTCAAATGTAATGTCAATTGACATCTTCAGATGCCTTGATCTAATTCCCCGTCCTTCTCTTTATCCTTTCCTCAATCACATCTCTTTACTCTTGCTCCCACTCTGTGTAACCCCTTGCGTTCTAGTGGCACTCCCGTCTTGCTTGGGGGGAAATGGTTAAAAAAAATGAGTCTATTTTTTAGGCTACTGGACATTTTAAGGGATTCACTATTGGTTTAATTCTTTATGCTCATTCAAAAGCCAGGATTTTGAATACTGGCTCTCTCTAATTTAAAAACTGACATAAAATGAATATCTATTTATCACCATCTAGTAATATAATAAAGTTAAGCTTAAGGAATATCTACAAGTGACAAAACAACTTTCCATATACATGATCTGTCATGCCTCACTTCAGGGTTTCTTCTCAAATTGTTACCAGATGATTTTGGAAAATGAAAAAATTTAAGGAACTGACCATTGCATTGACTCTGTTTGCACAAGTACTTGATAACACATTCTAGAAATTTATATCAGCAAATGAGATTTGTGAAGATATTTCCTTAGCATTTATAGATGTACAGGATTGGGTCTTACCAGAGACAAGAGACTAGAAAGAGAGTTATTCATATCAAATAATATTTATTCATTTTCATTAGCTTATACAAAACTAATTAATAAATTCCAATTATTGAAGTTAATCCTGATTAATCAGACTTAAACATGATTTATTTAAAAAAATTAAACAATTAAT